TGGGGAGGGGGGGGAGCGTTCATTTTTCTCAGTTTAGCAGTAAACGGATATCGTGCGCTTTGCCGTGGCGCCTTCATGCACAGCTAGTGACGTGACACTCTGACTATGACTATGATAATTCGTTTCTTTCCAAGACTTGGTCAGTGTTCAAGCAAGACTTACATCGATAACGAAAGCATCTTATCAACAAAAAATTGTCAGATCATTACATCTTCCTAGCTCAACTATTAATTTATATAATGATACTCTTCACAAATTATCTATTTTATACTGTAATCCAAACAATATTAAACAAAGAAAGAGAGAAACAGTTTAAGTGTTGCAGCTTTAAGGTGTGACCTTGAACAAGAAGACCTAATTCATCATCTTTGATGAGACTTCCATGGTCCACAAAAATTATCCAAGTACTTATTAAGTATGCAGTATCAAATTGAAGTTTCCGATATCTCCCGTGGTTGATAATACATAAAGTTGAGAAAGCCATGCCTCATTCTCTCTGTCTGTCTCTGTCTCTGTCTCTGTCATTGTCTCTGTTTCTGTCTCTATCTCTGTCTGTCTGTCTGTCTGTCTGTCTGTCTGTCTGTCTGTCTGTCTGTCTGTCTCTCTCTCTGTCTCTCTGTCTCTCTCTCTCTCTCTCTCTCCCCCTCTCTCCCTCTCTCTCTCTCTCTCTTTCTCTCTCTCTCTCTCATGTGAAAGGCTGAAGAGAATCAAATATCTCCAACTCCACGATTTTCACAGAACAAAACAGTTCAAATGATCTGGATAAATATTCCTAGAAGCAAAGAAAAACTTTAAGGAGATGTGTGCTTTAAAAAAGAACATATGTGATACTCACACGGTAGAACGTTTGAAAGAAGATCTTGCTGATAAACGATCAAAACCATTTTGGCAAACATTTAATTACATGATGCGTGCTTAAGACTGATATTTAATGTGGCTAAGGCCACACCAGATCAATTTTATTCTCATTTCAAAGACTTGCTGAATCCCAGAAACAGAGGATCAGCAGAGGATATATCACAGATACAAGCTGATCATGACGTAGTTTCCACAAATGAGGATTTAAACACAAACGTATTCCTGTATGATAATGAAATCACATCTTCTGAAGTTCTGGGAGTTCTGAGAAAACTGAAGAAAGGAAAGGCTGGCGGATGTGATTGGATTGGTCCTGAATTGTATTCTAATGCCTGTCCTACCTTGACAGTATTCTTGTGTTTGTTGTTTAATGTCATTGTTTAATGTCCTTTTTAATACAAGGAAGTATCCAAAAAATACATCCTCTCCTCAAGAAAGGTAGTCCTTCAGATGCAAACAACTACAGGGGTATTGCACTTCTAAATAAAATATCCAAGATATTTTGTAGTATATTGCATTTACGAATAGCGGAATGGGCCGAGCAGACTAATGTAATTCCAGAATCGCAAGCAGGGTTTCGCAAAGGTTACAACACTATCGATCATATCTTCTCGCTTCAATCAATAGTCCAAAAGTATCTTTCAAAGAAACGTGGGCGCTTCTATGTACTTTAGTTAATTTTCCTAAGCATTTGACCTCGTCCCCCATGAAAAACTGTGAGCAGTCTTGAGGAAAAGAGGCATGAGAGGAAACATGTTTACATTACTACAAAGTATGTACTCGGAAGTTGTGTGCTCTGTCCGTTCAAGCCAGCATGAAATTACGGAATACTTTAATTGCTTGTCGGGTGTTTGTCAAGGATGTATTCTTAGCCCACTTTTGTTCAATATCTATGTTTCTGAATTTGAATTGATGTTGAAAAACAGTTTTGTCAAAGGAGTTGAGCTCTTAAACAATGATGAACAAACACGCAATTTAAAGTATGCAGATGACATGCGCTTGTTTTCAGATACTATTGTAGACATGCAAAGGAAGATCAATTGTTTAGAGAAGTATTGTAACCAGTGGGGCCTGTCTGTATATCTAGAAAAGACTAAGGTGATTGATTTTAGAAATGGAGGCGAGCTAAAGCACTCTGAAAAATGTTTTACGAAAAGAAATGCATTAACTTAACAACTTACTTTACCTACCTAGGGGTGATATTTTCTTCTCGCTTGTTTTGGTCAAAGTGTATAGAAAACTTATGTTGTAAAGCAATAAGGCTCACTTCCAGAGTG